TTACTGCAGGGACTTGAATGGAATTAATATCGCAGATAATTAAGAATTAACGGGAGAAAGAACCTAATCAAAGTATCTACGTTTGATTTGCTTCCTGTGTGGCAGATTAATTCTGCACACCCTGACCGTACAGCTAAAGAAACTGGCACATGATTAATACATACCATGACATAAAAGTGGAAGTTAAAAGAAACACGAAAAAAACACAAGTTAAACAACCATCTCTCATGAACTTAATAGCCTACTTATTTGTAGACGGTCCTTTTATTTTTTATTGTAGATGACATTGTTTCCTCAAGGTGTTAAATCATGTAGAACATTATAAATTACTCCTTATTTTGTGTTATAATACATTCAGGACGATTTTAGTAATCATCCTCTGACGCAGAGATATACTCTGGCGAAAGAGAATTTTTTGTGTTTTGGGGTTTTGCAAAGCCGGTGTTCTGTCGAAAAATACTACCTATCGAGACGTGCTATCGAGCCTTTCTGCGCATGTGCAGTTCCACCGTTTTGGGATTAGGGTTAGGTTTTAGGGGTTAGGGTTAGGGTTAAGGTAAGGGTTTTAGGGGTTTTGGGGGGTTAGGGTTAGGGTAAGAGTTAGGGTTAGGGCTATCTATTAGCACTATGGTAGCATTTTTCGACAAGGCAGCATATATCGACAGAACACCTGCAGCCTTGTTGGATGCGGCCCGGGTTTGATGTAGTGGATCCGGAAGCGTTCCGGCATCACATGTCCTCTTAACTTCTCTGTGAGTCCTATTAGCTTGTGGTACATTAGGTTTTAAATGATCATTTCATTTTCAGCAGTATAATTATTCTTACGCACATGTTTGCACGGACTTTCCAGTGTACGAAGAGGCTGAAGGACCCAAATAAATGGATTAAGGTTTACTCTGCACTGCCTGCTTTAAAATGCTTCATTACAATTAAAACAGTAACATGCCAGTGTGGACTGATATTTATATTTTACGAAACATTTTACTGTGTGACATGCTATGTATTATATACCCAGATGTGTCAATTAATTGCTCTCCGATACATCTTACGTCCAGTATGCCTGGCACCTATCCAGGGAAGCACAGTGCGAATTGTCCATTGCAGGGCACACCCGATCAGATATTCAATGTCATTGCACGTTTTTATATTGTAGAAGGAAACAGGTAAGGTGAAGAGGATGTGTACACGCGGGGTAGATTTCGAACCCATAACCCTAGAGCATATGGTTACTCACTGCACCACTGTGCCACTGATATTGCAATAGATTATAAAAACTGTGCAGCTTATATCAGGCATATTTCATATACATACATATGAAATCAAACTGTTTTGGATAGTGTGTGAGATAAAAAGCCTGTTATTTTGACGTTGTGGGGACCATTCTTTGTAAAAATTTCTTTGTAAAAATCTGTGACTGCAATAATCTACCTATCTGTTTTCTGTAACCACTTATCCCATTTAGGGTCACTAGGGGGGGCAGTGCCTTTCCTGAAGGCTACAGGTGCAAGGCAGGGAACAACACAGGATGGGGCACCAACCCACTGCAAGGCACACTCACATATGCCCCGGGGTACCCACAGGGACCCCCCTCCGACAACTTGAGGGGAACATGCAAACTCCACACACAAAGCCATGGCAGAAACTCAAACCCTCATCCCAGAGATGCCAGGCAACAGAGCTAACCACTGTGCCACCCTGACTGCAGCCAAAAAATAAAAGTCTTGTATTTTGTTGGATTTTGTTGGCCTACTTTTGGTTAAGCTTAGGGCTGGGTTGGGGTTAAGGTTGTCATTGTTGTCATTAGGGTTTTTCCCATAGAAATGAATGAATGGTCCCCACAAAGATATGGATACAAACGTGTGTGTGTGATCAAAACCGTTTATTTTGACGTTGTCCGGACTATTTTTCTGGTCCCCACAAGGGTAACCTCAATTTTATACAAAACTGTGACTACAATCGAAAAATTAAAACAGCTAAAGGTCTTGTATTTTGTTTAGTTACTTATTGTTATGGTTAGGACTGGGTAAGGGTTAGGGTTGTCATAGTCAGCATTACAGTTATTATGGACTGTGTATTTATTTAATGGTACATGCCATACATATTGGTAGCTGCTTATTCAATACAGGGTCGCTAGGTAACAGTACACCTCCTACATTCTGATGTGGGATAATATTAAGGGATTTATCGCAATCCCTGTTTAGTGGAATTCCAGTTAATTCGACCAATGAGTAAAGCCCCTAAGCCCCAATCATAAAATCTACATTATAGTTACCCATGTTTTTCCAAACATAATCCAATATGGCATCCTTCTTTCCCACAAACACTCATCTATATCTATGGTAACTAATAGCTATGTTACAGAGAGACCCTGCAGCCAGAAACACAAGAAATGTGGTATAAATCACAGAAACAAAATATTTTTATTGTCATTATTATTATTATTATTATTATTATTCAAGTACTTTTAGTCATAAAGCCGTTCTATCTGGAAACATAAGATCTATATAAAATAGATGTTTTATGATATTAAAAACTATAAACATTTTTAATAAAGGAAATGGGGTTCTGCATAAATTGCAGTCACAGTTTACAACAAAATTAATACACTTTCTAATTAAAGGTCTAAAGAAGCAGAATTATTATGGGGGGGGGGGGCCCCAAAAACACATCTGGGCTGTGGAATTTTTACAATATCTACCAGACATTGAGATGTAAACAAAAGTAATTACTCATTGTTTTGTGGAATTATTCTACAAACAGTTTCTGGCTGTCATACATAGCCTTCACAGATCTGTACAAACACACGGCTCTGCTTCCATTAATAGGTTTTTACATTGTACTGGCAACTGAATAAAATACAGCAAAAAGTAACCCACTGAACAGAGGTGGCAGTGTAACAATTTGACAGAAGAAAATAGAATATGAGGAATCAAGACAGAAAAAAGTAACTGTGTCAGATTTCACTTTCTGATTTAAAATAAAACAGAGAGTGATTACAAATTCGTGAAAGTGTAACAAAGGAGTAAAGTTTTTGCTGTCCTTCGCAAAGGACAATCCAGTGATGCAAAATTGATGAGCTGTAAAGATGATGTACATCTGAAAGGCAGTCAGAGTACGGAAATTGACATATTGTGTGAGAACAGACGAACCCAAATGTTTACGTCACCATTATCACCTTTCAGAAGGACCTTCTAGTCTTACAGACCCCAAAGCCTTCTGGGATTTCTGTGGGTGGGTCACTGACATGCAGCCACAGGCCATCAGACAAGGCTGTAACACCTTAAAAACAGAACCTGCTAAGATCTGCTTCCCCTTGACAGGGGCATCGCAGCCCGTATTTATTCTTTGTGTGGAATCTTCTCAAAGCAGGAACCATGTGGAGAATATTGACTGCAGATAAAAATCAGTGTGTCCTTGGTTATGAATAATATGCACTTTCAGCTTTGTAAAAATTTATGGACTAATAATGTTAAGTACACCGAATGTAAATCAGTCTCCAAAATGTTCAACAGAAATATAAAAGCTTTTGAAATTAAAAAAAAATCATTATGGATTTTAATATGGATTTGTGTTCCAGCTTGTGCTTGTTTTTTAGTTTGGCTGAGCTGAGGGAAATAGCAGAGGGTTGAGACTGGCTTCTCTGATGATGTGCGGGTGAAGTTTGTTAATCAGTTTTGTAAACATTTTTTTCGGAGAACACAATCTTGCTGCGATATACTGCAGCTCTGAAGGTCAAAATCAGATGAGTCTGGATTAAGAGGAAGTCGAAAGTGAAGGTAATGAGCAATCAATGTCAGCCCCACTGAAATCGGGTCAAGACCCTGACTGCGGCCGATCGATGTGAAGCACGGATCATCCCGATCGCTTTAGGACTGCAGAGGACGGCGAATGTGTCACAGGGCCAAACAACGCAGCAGCGACAGCGTGTCGAGGAGAAGGCGGTGGAACAGCCAAAACCGGAAGGGAATGTGCATTGAGGCCAGTCTCCAGGACGCCCCGCGTCTGTCCTGCAAAAGCGCAAGGAGCCAGAGGTCTCAATGGCCACATTCTGCTCGTCGCAAGTCGGCTGCGCTCTCAGACATTCCTGCCATTCACTGTGCTGGCATCAGCCAAACCACCGATTTCTCCATGACATGTCTTCACTCTGTGGCGCATTTTGTTCCACATTACTGACCTGCCCACACAGCTCATGGAGCTGCTCTCCCAGCTCTCAGTCGAAGGACCGTTACACTAAATCTGAATATGCTTCACAGACAACATGTTTACTACATAAAACTGTTGCCTGACCAAATTACACTAGCAAGAGCTTTTTTTACAATGCACACACCATACGGCGACTTTTTAAGTCAGGCAACCTGTCGCGTATTTGTTAGCTGCTCTGATAGACGTGGCACGGCTGGTAACGAACCTCATAACGCATCACGTCAGATGTGACTTGCATAACACATCCATCAGCTCATCTTCTGGAACCACTTACAGGCCCGGAGCCTCTTCCAGGAAGCCTAGGGCATACGGCAGGGGATACCTGGGGGAGGATGCCGGGTCTGAACAACATGTAAAAATGTTATTTATATATCGGATTTGCTATTCCGCAGAAGCTGGAAATGGCGTGTTTTCTTTTTTTTTAAATGTCCTACAAAATTTGATATTGTTATCGCAGTACTCCTTCACAGTGTCTTCCGTAGGGTATGTTCCAATTTATGTATTGGATATATGTTTACAGTCCATTGTGCAAAAGATGCATGATTCTTTGCTGGGCTAAACTGAACTTATACTCTAATGGGAAATAAAGAGAAACTGAGTGTCAGGTGACGCTGACACTGAGAGTGAAGAGCAGCGTGAACTTCAAAGCGTGAATGTTTAAAGTGGAAAAATCCCCAGAGAATTTATGGAGGTTCTCTCTCTGCAGATACCCACACTCCAAGGGGGAGAGGTATGGTCTATCAGAGGAACCTTCACTCTGCTTCTGCCTGTGCAGCTTAACCCCCCCCGCCCAGCCTCATCTGAGAGTATTCACACGAACAAAAGGGAGCGTAAATCCCACAGCTGAGATTTCAAGAAGAAAACATCAAATTGCAGATAAGGAAATTAAATATAAGAGCCTGGTTAAAAAAAAAAAAAAAACAAGCATGAGAAGAGAAAGCCAAAGAAGGAACGTTCAAAGAAAATGAGTAACCAGGAGCATCCGGAGAGTCAGAAGAGGAGGAGGATGACGAGGCGGTGAAGGGACAGGCGGGTCAGTTGAGGAACTCGGCGGAGAGACTGCGCGTGCAGCGAGCTGAGCGGAATTTGAGCTCGTGGTAGCACTGCACAAAGCTGTGGTAGATGAAGGTGATGGGCAGCGCCAGCAGCACGATGCCGCTGACCACGCAGAGGCCACCCAGCACGCGCCCGGGCATGGTGATGGGGTACATGTCTCCATAGCCCACCGTTGTCATGGAGATAATAACCCACCAGCAGGCGGCCGGGATGCTGGCGTAGTCCTCGTTGCCCATCTCCAGGTCCAGGCCGTGCTCCAGCAGCTGGGCCAGTGCGCCAAAGATGGCCATGGCCACGCAGATGAACACCAGCAGCATGACCATCTCGCGGTAGCAGCGCCGCAACGTCAGCCCCAGCGTCTGCAGGCCCAGGAAGTGGCGCGCCAGCTTGATTACCCAGAAAATGCGCATCATGCGCAGGACGCGCAGTGTCACGCCCGCCCGCTGCAGCTGCGAGTTCTCGCCCGTCAGCACGGTCATCAGCACCGACACATAGTACGGAGTGATGGCCAGCAGGTCGATGATGTTCAGCGGCCGGCGCACGAACTCACACTTGTCCCTCGACACGATGAAGCGCACGATGCACTCGGCGGTGAACCAGCCGATGCAGACCGCCTCGATGATCCTGAGGCCACAGGGGGTGAGGGGAGAGAGGGGGAGGTGTTATGGAGCGGAGGGGGCGGTACCAAGCACATAAGTGCTCCCCAGGCACAAGGGACCTGACAGATCCCTGTTCCCTTTATTATATATATGCTACCTGTTGCTTAACCCTATATGGTAATATGAATATATTAGCCATGCAATTCTTTCACCCTTTAAGGACCAGACCTTTTTTTTTATTTTATTTGTCAGGATATGTGCTTTGTGTATACAGCATAATAAAGAGAGAAAAATATTTACATCCTCCATCTCAGTGATTTCCATGGTCAGGGTTGTGCTGATTAGCAAGTGTGATAAGTGCATAAGGCATGCACTCCATTTCAGCACAGAAAACTAGTCACATATAAAACAAGTCAGATATAAACCTGAATGTCAGGGTGCCCTGACTTCATCCATTACACATTCTCTGAAATGTGGAGGGGAAAAAAACCTGACCACCCGGAAGCATTTGCACAGACATGGAGGGATCGTTTAAAAATCCACGTGTGCCAAGCAGGGCTATATTGGAACCAGCAACCAATCCCACATATGCATTTATCAGTCTGCCTCATGATAGGTAGCTGTGCCTTAAAGGGTGACGCATTTAAGAGGGAAAAATAATCGGAGCAACAAACCGGGGGAGGGGGTTATTTCTTGTATATTAGGTTTACACAAAACCCCAAACAGTATTGCCACAGAGCAGGGCGGCTGCCCAACACACACGAGACATATGGAAGACTGAGCGCTGGGCTTGTGCGATGGGATGGGGTGACACGTGACCAGAGTAGGCAGCAAGAGGAGGTCAAATTAAGCGTCAAATGCCAATTAACCATCCTTTTCTGTCGTGCCGTGCAGTTTGTCCGAGTTATGAAACATAAAGATAAACTCAAAGGCTCATCGGCAATAATGTCAACTGTGTTGATACCACAACCTAAGTTCTACAAAACTACAAGAAAGCTCAAAGCGTGAGCTAAAATCACTCATCGCTCAATTAATTGCGTGTGTGATTCTGCTTTAATGTATGTCAATCAGGGAATGTTCAGGGAATGTAAAAACTAGGTAAAAATATGCATTACCACAGGTGGTAATGTCACCTGGTCTACCTCCTCAGCCGTCGCTCCAGCGAACCAGCATTTGTGGCTCCGTGCTGCCACGGCCGTAACGTGACAAACCTGGCCGTTCCGTGGCTCCAGCTTCCCTTTCACCGGCTAGGCACCAGGTGTTACCTCCCACCTGGACTGTGCCCTTGTGCTGGAGCAGGCTGGGAGCCACGAAGATGCCTACCCCCACCCCCTGCACGCATGCAATGCACACGCGTATCCATGCAATCAAATTATATAATTATGAGCTCTCTGACTTCCTTCGTTAAGTCCCCGCGGCGATGATGGAAAGAGGACAGACTGTTTAAAACGGACTGAGAGGGAAAAAATAAATGGACAAGAGACAGTGCCGTTGCCGCACATAAATAGATTGGACGGTGGAAAGACGTTGCCAGGAAACACATGGTGTTGTATGAGTTAAATATTACAGCTACTATAGTCAGATTGAATTTACGGGTAACCGGTTAAACAGGTTGATCTTAGACACACTTTGCGCGTTAAATCCAATGTGCACTAGATCAAATAGGATTATTATGAACTTACTACTGTCCAAACGATGCACACAATCCTAGAAATGTAATACTGAAAAGTCTTAATATTTGTATAAGAAAGTGTGTTTTTATATGCATAGTATGGAAAATCGTTAGGCGTCAATATCTGGCAACGTTCGAAGTTAACAGTAAACGCCTTTTGACTAGACTCATACTCGCACAACGGTTTATGGATTACATTTATTTCACTTTGCTTTATCACATCAATATAGGGCGTACTACTTAAACTCCATTGCAACATGATCGAGAGTCGAAAGGAGATGACCTAATTGTAATTAAGCGCGGAGCTGGGAGGCGGAGTGACTGAACTGCCGGTCAGATGTAAAATGGAATTGTACTGAAACGCAGAGGTTCATTAAGTCAAGGCATTTGCGTTGAACTGAAGAAGTGGCGCGGTCCAATCCAGGCGTTTAGCTGTGCTTCTAGAAAATGGCAAGACCACGCAAATATAGGCTACCCACCAAACATTTATTCCTATATATAAATTGGTATTGCAAATGTATACAAATCTAGACACTTTTCTTTTTTCTACCCTTCTTTTGCATGCCGTCAGTATTTTAAATAACATTGTTAACCATTACATTAATTCATGTTTCAGTTCAATTCAAAGATTAATTAAATCTTTCATTTTATATAACCTAGTCTCAGTACAATATACGATTAGGATATTGCTTGGCCAGAATTACGTTTTCTGTTATTCAGATATTAAAACTTTCACTCGAACGCATAACACCCTTTAACGGAAGGAAACAGATCTGTTTCCATTTTTTGAAAGCGTAGTGTAGGTAATTCGGCGGATATTGTATTTTGTGCATGTTTACTCTGAAAAATAGAAGACAAAACAGTTGAGACATCCGACAAAAACAACACAATAAAACATTACACAATCCATAATGAAATCCATAGAAAAGAGCAAAAGTGGTTTCAAATGCCAATATAGCTCTGTATAGCTTAATGATCTAAAGATTAAGTGATTCTTGAAAAATGTTTGATTTCTTTAATATTCGGTTCACAACAAAACTTCACCTGCCAATTATTAGTCCTGAATGCACAATGCATTCTATTTTGCATATTTTCTGTTCTAATTATGCTGCTCTGAAACCAAACAGGCCTAGTATCAACAATCACGTTCATGGAAATTAAATATACGGTTACAGTGCTTGTCGTGTGCGCGCGCGTGTACATGTGCGCGCTTGCGGAGTAAGCAAGAAACGCTGTTTCAAGTGCACCGACCTCGAGAGCTGGTGTCAGATATATTCTGTAATTTGTTTAAAAGGGAATTTCACACAATTATGCCTCCTACGTTATTAGCGGTGCAGAGTAATTATGTGGCAATTCATAACAGACTATTTTATGTCTGAGCCTGGGTTTCAAATTACTGTTACACTTGACTTTTGTATATCATTCTGAGATAACAACTTGTTGTTCACGCCACAGAATACTCACACAAATAAGTCAACAGTACGCTCTATTACGATGTAAACAGACAAAGGGACATAAAGAACAGTGACGAATATAATATATTAATAAAACGTAAATACCCTGATGGATCTTCTAAACTCTCTGTGTACCTGTGCTCTTCCACGCTGTTGTTCTCGGCCGTTTTCCAGTCCGGCAGCGTGCTGGCGCAAAGGATAACCATGGACACAATGACAAAAATCACGGAAACAGAAGCGAGAATCTGCGCCGCGATAGATGAGGTGGGCTCCTCGAAAGTCCTCCGCATCCTTTCCAGCCACTTAGCGCTTCCTCTCCGACCGGTGGCCGGTTGCTCCAGCTCATCGTTACCCCTGGGGTCCTCCTCTGTTTTGGTGTCTTCCTCGGAGAAGTAGGTGTATGTGTCGGACATCCTGTCATCCAAACGCCGCTGGCAGCAGAACTCCAGGTGTGAGCTCTCCAGACCCCAGTAGATCATCTCGTTATAGAAGGACAGCTCACACATTTGCGGGACAAACCTGAGCTTTCCGTACTTCACGTACAGCATAATGAAGCCGAAGGCTTCGGAGTGCCTGTCAAAGAAAAACTCGTTTCTCTCTCGGTCGTAGTCATCACAGACTTCGAGCACTTCTTTCTCAGAAGCGCAATTGTGAAGACGACTCACTCTCCTTAGAGGAAAGTCCTTTATCACATCCCTGGGTAACGCATATTTAGTGCCACCCACATTTAAAATACACACGCTTTTCCCAAACTTCATTTTGTGTTAAATTCCCACCTTGGCATGCATAGAAAGTGGCTTTCCGGTTTATACAAAGCAGAAAGAGAGGGGACCCTCTCTCTCAGATGTATAAGTCAGCATCTTATTTTCCCCATTTCCAAGTCCAAATCCGAATATCCTTAAGTTCCCAGGAAACAGGCGTTTGCTCTTGGACGGGCAGTAAGACATCGTTGACCTTTTTCAGGGAGACACTCGACAGGTTTTTGGGTTTTAAAACTCCTCCGTTCAAAACGCATTTTCCGAGCGCACCTCGCGTTTCCACAGACTGGGTTGTGGCTCCGCCTGTCAAACCCAGCTAGTCCAAAGCGGGCAGACCCGGACCGTGATGTCACCCTACAGCACGCCCCCTCCCCTCTTTAGACAACTAGGAAACTGGATAAAACTTGTACAAACATTGATTAATAAGCTATGCGCAAGGCATGCAGTTTTAGATCTAATGCATTGGACTATTTTGGCTGAGAATATAAATCCAGCATTTACTATTATATGAATGTCTGAAAATTTTGATGGATATATTTACAATGAAGTTGGTTATAATTTGATACCATTTTTGCATCACGTATTACACGCATTACACTAAGTAAAATTTGAGGTTTTTTCATGTGCCTTCACATGAGTTATATTCCATAAAATAAAATTTAAAAACATTCAACCCCTTTTGTTTTATTGTCCGTAATCTTCTATCTACCACGTCGTGTATTTTGTATTTTCATTCTTAACTATTTGTATTGGATGATTAAATATAATTTAAATGTAATTATTTTTACAATTTCCATGGGACATAAAGGGTACCCTGTTAGTCCCGCATCCATAAGTGTTGACAAACCTATAACGTCAGATATGTCAAGTCAATGTCGTGTTAATTTATACCCGGCAGCAAACATTCATTTCAAATACAACAAAAGAGCGGATCCCAACAGACCACTGATATCTTAACTACGGTTTCAACCCTACTCTGATCACTGCACTGTCGTGGAACTGGGATTTCGACTCAAAATAACGATTTGTTAAAGATGTCTCATGATATGTCCAGAAATAGTGCACAACCAAGGACCAAAGTAAGACATCAGTAAAAAAAACTAAGTTATCTATATAACCCCAAAAAATTTGCATATGAGGGGAAGTGGAACAATATGAAAAGTAATTCAAACGTAACTTTTGCTCATGATTTAATTCAAGTGCCTTTAATCACAAATGCGGAATATTAATCTTATTTTAACTTACTTTCCAGTTAATTTTCCCAACGCACTGTACTCGAATGCATTCAATAAAATAAGCAGTGCGAAACTAACATTGCAAGAACATGCTGACCATTAAAAATTGTACAATAAAATTAACGCCCCGGAAAAAGCTTAAAGATCTCTAACACGTGGGTAAATTTTCCCTTGACGTTCCCCTTGAAAGATAAAATCGTGAAAAAAGACAAAAGTGAATTTGATATCAGTCAGATAGATAATTCAGTGAACTCACTGAATGGGATATTTGGTCCAGCGACACTCAGCGCCGTTTTTCCGCTACAGGGACTGTGCGCGTTGGACCCTCACCCCGCCCCACTCTGCTCCTTCCCCCCACCCGCACCAGGAAACACGGGTCCGGCTCTTCTGAAGCCGTTTCGCTCGCCGATCTGTGAACGCTGGGAGGGGGGCTCTTTAAATCTCTCCCGCTCAACTCCCGACTCTTACCCCCCTCCAAAAAAAATCAATAAACAACAACTACGCTATTTAATTGCACTGTATTTTTTTCAGTTACAGTTGGACACGATTAAATTAAAAACGTCCGATTATTTATTTGTGTGTTTCGCAGTTCATGCTTTGTCTGTATTTTTTGCACACCTCAAGAGGAGGGCAGAAATGGCGGCCAACATGTACCGGGTCGGAGGTATGTCAGTCTCAGTATGAAACGTGCCTTCGGTGTGTAGTGCAGCTGCGGTATATAAGAAACGGATAGAGCGCTTTGATTAATATTTAATATCCATTAATATTTGTTTATGAGAAATAAACCCCGGTAATTACTCCATGAGCCGCATGCGCCTGGGATTTAAAGGATTTGGAATTATAATGTGTCGGGCCTCCAAATAACCCAGAAAGCAGCTAGTTAGCGATCTGGCTAAAGGCTACACACCCCAAACATAAACACTGATATAAATCCTTTCTGTGTTTGACGGAAGGGATTTTACATCTATCCAAAATGCAGAATATTACATTAATGCACATTTAATCGGTCCATTTGAGGTTCATTTGTTCCTGGGACGTGTCTGGCGTAGCTCTACGTGCTACACCGGTTAGTTATGCTACTTAAGATATATGCGCTTGTTCTGATCGCCGTATGACGCTGGCTGTTGTGTGCGAAATGATTAGGAAATTTCCAAATACGTGATTTTTTTCGGGGAGCTTGTTAATAGCAGATTGTAATGATAACGAAAGTGCAACAACGCTGATGCAAGATTTTCAGACGCGATGTCGGATTTAAAATATATTGTAGCTGCAAACAGTTTTTTTTTTTTTTTTTTTACATTACTACACAATGTGTCGGAAACCCTTAAATGATACGGCAAATTATTCGGACGCCTGGTGTTAACGTTGGTAAATTGGCCACACGCTGTAATTTATTTCGATACCAGTATCGGAGCGCCGGTCACGTGACGGCCGTGCGCGTCAGCGCGGGGGCTTCGGCTCCCGGTTCACGCCACTTTATTGTTTTCGGTCATTATAGTCTGGTTTTGAATTTGTTTAACGTTTTCAAGACGCTAAAGCCGAACTGGGCTCCGGAATTTTCGGAAGTAAATCACTTTGTAATTAAATATCATATTTAACTGGACAAATTAAGTGGAAATACGAATACGAATTTAACATACCCTTTAGAACCAGTCTGGTCCACTGGGGCATTCTCAAACCAGTCTGGTCCACTGTAGTATCCCAAACAAGTCTGACAAGTTGCAGCCACGCTGCTGTATTTTGGAGAGTTCCCTAAAAGTTATCCTTACTCCCAAATCATGAACAGGACTATGATGTAACACACTATGGATTGTGTTTATTAATGAAAAGCATTACAATTTTAGAACACCTGGAGTTAATTTGCGTTTCTGAAAGATAGATTTTTATGAATCAATTATAGTTTCTTCACTTTTTCTGAGCACACATGGAGAGAGTAACGTTTGAGTCAAGGATTGCTTCACTATGTAGTTTTGGAGGCTTGTATTAGTGGATTGCATTGGCAAAAAATGGCTTTTGAAACTGCTGCTAATCACCCATTGATTAAACTCAACGAATTCTACAACTTTAAAAATGAATGCTGTAACAAAACCTTTTAATGGGGGTAACCTGTGCTGTACTCGTTCTGCACATTGAACATGATTCATCTATACCACAGAAAATTTCTTGCCCAGGTATCGACATTTAATGTATTGCTTAAACTATTTGAATCAACACACACGGAAAGTGTACAGGTCAATAGTGTTTAAATGCCACATTATGCAAGCCTTTTAACAGTAGCGGTCATCCTGCATGCATGTCCACAGCTAATCATCAGCGAGTTTTGCAGATACAGTCGGCAAACGAATCAGGTTCTGCGCCTTTAAATGAGAGATCTCTGGTGCTTCAGTTTTTGCATTTGTTACAGACCGATCACCACTGGTGTTACAGTGTATTTTTGTGCTTCTTTATGTTGTTTCAGACTATGTCTTCTTTGAGAACTCTTCCAGCAACCCTTATCTGATAAGGCGAATAGAAGAGCTGAATAAGGTATAGTATAGAGAAATGGGTTTATAACTCAACTGGGCCATCGGAGTCCGCACGCGTCTGATCCATACACCACCCATTCTACTCGTATTGCCTAACTCATTAACTGCTTTGACTATATTGTTGATATTCTACCTGAAAGAGTTTTGACATACCGTTGTTTTTTACTGTTTACTGTAGTCATATGGCATGAGGTAGTGTGCTGTTTTTGCGTTGGGTGTAACCTTTCTGCTAAAGGCAGCCTTCACAGGCAGTGATGAGTGTTTTCCTATGAGAACACGGGTCACATGACCCATCGACTCATTAGACCTCAATATGGCCCCCAGCTCTTTCTGTGTGTCCTGCTCAGAAGGCAGTGTCTTGTTTTATTTTCCTCCTCAGATGCTATTCTTTTATCTTTTAGACCTTCATTCCTTCTTCGGTTGCTCGGTCCCGAGGGTTCAGTTCGGGCACTGTTAACGTCTGTGTGTTATCGCTCAAAATGTTGCAGAGTTGTGAATGAACCTTAACATTTATGTTTAGGGTAGATCACGTCTGTAGGTAAGATTTAAGCATAAAATACACATTATTTTTGGGCAAGTCTGTTAGACAGAGGCTATCTGAAAAGAACTGCTAGTATTTTGAGTTCATTTTTCACAACTTCCTGTTTAGGGGTGTACCCAGAAGCCATCAGACGTCTGTCTGTCAGCTGACACCCAAAGCTGCTTCTGGCTATTGACAGCTTTTCATTGCCCTGGTTAGTGTTTGGGAGCCAGTATCTGTTTTACTTCATCTGATAAGTGGACTTTCGACGGTATCTGTTGCCCAGCTGGTTCATGCTGGGATTCCCAGACTTTAAATAGGAATTGAGTTTGGACATTGCTGTCTGCACTACAGAGACACACAGCCCCCCAGGCAATGGGCGATCCCAGAAGATACAAGTTTCACCACCTTGTGTAATGTTCTTGCAGCCAAAGGAAGGGCCAAGGTCACCTTTTATCACTGGGCTTGGAGGATCCGCAGCCCTTGTTCAGTCAACAGGGAGCCCTCAGGGAGAACCTGTGTTCGTTCATTAGGAGAGTCAGAGAACGGTGGCCCAGATTCCGTCGTCTGCGGCACAGTGGGAGGAGGGCCGCCACATGTCAGAAAGATCTACACTCACCTAAAGGATTATTAGGAACACCTGTTCAATTTCTCATTAATGCAATTATCTAATCAACCAATCACATGGAAGTTGCTTCA